AAAACACCCTATGAACAACCGAGGGTTGCCTGACTAACTCTGATAGAATAATAATCTTCGGGTGAAGTTATGAATAATTGGATTCAGTGTTCGAAACTCACCTTTGAGTTTTAGGAGCCATGTGGCGCATCAAGCCCGATTTTTAGGCGCCATTGAAGAGTCCTTAAGGGCCAAATGGACTTTTTGCCTATATATTACGGCGCAATTTGTGAAAAATTAGACGTAAGATGTTTTCGTGACAGAACTAGTAAGTAGCTGACAGAACTAGTAAGAGCTAGTAAGCACTAAGAATGAAATCGTGAATATACCAATCTTTTTTTTCAATATGTGAAGACGTGGGTCCACATTGGCCTTGTTAAGTCGACAATCTTTAATCTGATCCTAAAGGTTCAGTCTCCACAGAGGCAAGAATATAAAGTCGTGCTGGAGGAGTGACAAGGCCGGAGGCATTTTTATCATACGAGTCAAATAGAGATAAGAAATTAATATCCAATAATTTTCAAGGGGTAGGTTTTCTTCACACTACAATTAAAAGCGCGACTCACCAAACTGTCACCAAGAACGAACAAAAAATAGGCAGCACAAACCTGGAACAAAGAGAAAAAACTCGGTCAGAACAAAAATGATTTAAAAGTACTTGAAGATAATACTTGTACTTCCGGCTCGGTTTAGAAACAACTCATGTAACATCAGCTTCCCTAGGCACTTGAATGTTTTTACGGATGACCCAGCAATTCTACTCTCTAATTGCAAAATGCGGTAGAATTGTCACCTGATTAATATACTGCCTAATTCACACCTTTCTGTTGCGGAATAAAAGCCAAGCAGAAAGCACACACTTTATAAATTGGGGCTTCAAAAATAAACTAAAAAATACTGATTGAAGTGAACTAGAATCGATACTTAAACCGAAAATACTAAAACGAGTGAGAGGTCAATATTAAATCCTAACCTATTTTTTTGGAGAGAGGTGTGCGAGCCTGCATAACGGGAGGAGGAAGCGGGGGGGGGGGTGTCCTAAATCCCGCAATTCACAGCGTAACTCAATACGCGAACGGCCCATTAGCCTCATCACGTCCCATCCTAAAAAAAAAGTCGCCTTGCAGAAAATTATCAGCATTTCCCACACTCCGCACTCGGCAGGGGGCGCAGGGGTGGTTCCTCCGAAAACTACCCCTGCGGGAGCCGCATAACAGCAGTAGTCCAGCGGCCACTTATCGATCAGCCGTTGGCCGCCTCGTGGCCCGGGGGGGGGGGGGGCGGCAAAGAGAGGGGGAGGGTGCACCGACGAAAATGAATAAAACCCGACAAAAAGCGCATTGCCGCGCGCGGCTGCGCCGTTGCGATCCATCAAAGTCGTCGGTGAAAAATTGCGGACGGAGAACATGCTGACTCGGTCGCGGGGATGCAAATAGACGGGCACTGTTGCCGTCCTGTGCGGGGTCTGCTACTATTTCTGCCGTGTTAAGGAAAAACGCCGTATGAGCCTTGAGGCGTTGCCAGATTCTCCTCACACAGAGAAAAAAACTTCGTGCGTGGGACCCGAAGTTTAGGTCATATGGATCTCCGAAGTTTTCGGATTGAGCATCTGAACACTTTAGGTCCAGCTGCTGAGGTTTGGATCACACATCTGAAACTTCAGTTCTTACATCTGAAGTACTTCGGTTTCCGCATCCGAAAAACTGCGGTTTCCACATCCAAAAAACTTCGGTTCTCACATCCGAAAAACTTCGGTTCTCACATCTGAAGTACTTCAAATGTAAGAAAGTACTTCAGATGTAAGAACTGAAGTTTCAGATATGTGATCCAAACCTCAGCAGCTGGACCTAAAGTGTTCAGATGCTCAATCCGAAAACTTCAGAGATCCATGACCTAAACTTCGGGTCCCACGCACGAAGTTTTTTTCTCCGTGCAGTAAGAACCGAATTAACTGGAAATTTTTTTAATGTTTTGCGTCAAATTTTTCAGACGATTCAGTTTGCAATTTGATCTAAACTACCTGAGAATTTCAAGGGAAAATATCAGATACTATCCTCAAAAATACATGATTAATCTGGGAAAATCTGGCAACTCTCGAATGCTCTTACGGCGTTTTTCCTTAGCAAGGCAGATTTCTGGTAAAATTAAGGAATGATGGGCAAAAATATGGCAACGTTGGTTCCATACCTATCACCACCACTGCGAGATCCGAATGCTCTGGGCGCAACATGCCCACACTACGAGATATGGATAAATTTATGATGAAAGGAACTATGTGCATAGAGTTAGCGTGATTAACTCAGGCGAAAAGACTTTAACGGCGGACGTTGCATACAGATGATTGAAAAGGACAGAAAGTCAAGGTCTATAGTTTGCTCACCGTAAATTGCGTCACTGCCACTCTTCAGATTTCGAAATCATACCAAGATGGTCAAAAATGTTCATAAATGAGCGTTCTCCCGCAAAAATGAGAAAATGTACGACAAAACTAAGTCAAACACGTGTTTTACAAAGGGTGGGTCGTAACATTTGTAAAAACAAATCACTCTGGATAAAATGAATTCATGGGTTGACTGCCCCTTTGGGTCCCAAAAGCTCCATTACTTAACCTCAAGATTACCGACCTGTCCGCACTCTCCTTGTACAGGGTGATCCAGGGTTAAACGGCCAGACTGCAAAGGCGTATTCTATTGGTCAAAATAAGACTTTTTTTGTCGTCTTAAGTTTTTTCTAAAAAAAGCCCCCGGCCGGAGCTGAGGCGCCCCCAAAATTTTGGAAGGTAAATCATTTTCTCTGAATTTTGGCGACGGCTGTGAACCAAATCTCATGAAAAATTTGCACTTTCCTGCAATTTTTTGCCCTGCATTCATAAATGATTTTAAAAAAATAGAAATCTCAATTTACGACAAAGAAGTCTTATTTTGACTCATAGAATACGCTCCTACAGTTTAGCCGTTTCACCTTGGATCACCCTGTGTGGTACTCTACTCTACAATGGCAAGGTTGATATCAAGTGCAGCAGGTGACAACCGTCGAAGAGTGGCAATAACCTTCTCACCACCCAAATTCGTCGCCATATTTTCGACCTCAAAGGTCTCTACAGGACTCGCTGTCCATTCTCTCCCTACTCTAAATAGGACCACTTTACTTCCTCACTCATTAAACGACACTCGCCGCAGCGATAAAACGACGTCACAGCCAAGAGCCCGGAGTGCGGACGGTGCGGCACGACGCACAGTGGAAAGAGCTAATAGAAGAGGTCGGACATAAATTTTTTTAACTAAAATTTCAAATATATTTATGTTTACTTCGTCACAAATTCAATGGACCACTGGACAAGGTACGAATATCAGCATTCTGATACATGTTTCTTAACCAGAATTTCACGTAGAACACGATTCGCGCAACGAAAATTACTGAAACCAACTCCTAACGGAGATATTAACATTTCCATTTCACATTGGTTACGAGTAATTTGAACTGCCCGCTTACAAGAAACTCAAAGCTCTACGTGAGTCAAATCGAGCACTACAACGGTTTTAGCAAGCTTCTCAATCGAGCAATGTTCATTTCCCAACATGTGTTGTTCAAACTCTGAGCAATATGCTACAGCTGAGCCAAAGCGTCAATATTGAGGTTGCAATATTTTTTTTGTCGCAGAGACGTTCATGATTACGTTTAACGCGCGATGTGAGTCACGTAGAGCATTGAGTCTTCATGAGCGGGTGGTTTGAATTCACGCATCAAGAATCATTAAATCTCTTCGGAAGGAGTTGATTTCGGTTGTGTGCATCGTGTTTTACGTGACATTTTGGTGAAGAAACATGTATCGGAGTGCTGAAATTCGTATCTTGTCTGGTTGTACATTTCAAGGAGTGTTTCTGAAGGCAAATTTCATTAAAAAAACCAACGCAAACACTTTTACACTTTTTTAGTCCATATTTTCAAAAATATAAGCTTTCAAAGTTTCCAGATTTTGTCCGACCTCTCCTATCGACTCGGTCCACTGTGCGACGGTGGCGGTCGAGGCTCTAACGTAGTTGACGGAGAGGCCCGGTAAATCAAAAGCGAGGTCCCTTTAACGGCGCGTTAAAAACGGGATATGCAAATGCCCCACCGCGGCGGGAGCGCCCCCCCCTCTTCTTCACCCATCGGGGACCCGGCTATTAATGAAGGCGACTAATTCGTCCACGATGTAAAAGCCGGGTCCTCGTAATTGGCACCGACACCGCGT